GAACTGGAACTATATCTTAAAATGGTTTGTTAGTCATCTAGCGGCAAAATTTCAATATGTGAACTTATATTAACGCTGAAACAAATGAAAGGCGGGTTTCACGTGATTGTATCTTGGGCTTTCAGTCATTCAATATCTTTATTAATGACGTTTTTAATATTACTCATCTCCCAGATGTTACGGTGTATGCGAGTGACACTTGATAACATTTTTGTGGATAAAAATTAACATTAGTTTAAATAATATCAATAATAGGGCTTTTATAAATGAACTCAATTTGAATATTAGAACTAAGTGTAGTAAACAAAATTAATAAATGAAACCACACTTAAAATATGCGACGTTAAATGAAAAAACAGACAAATTTCAATTACTTGGATTCAAAATTAATTTTCGAGAAGTATACTAAAAATTAACAAAAACATTAAAATGATTAATAAAATTCAAAACCAGTTAGTAGATAATACTTCATTCGATACTACTTCAATATGTTTTTATTTACTTCCACTTGTTGTGATCTTATCTGGGGCAATCCTTACAAAACGTGCTTACAAAAATTAAACCGGTGAAAGAAAATGGTAATTTGATAATTTATTTTGAAAGAAAAATTAAAAAAGATTGTAGATTTAATGAAATTGTAAATTTAACAAATGTAAAATATTGAACTTTTTCAAAGCATGCTGTTTTATCCACAAAATCTTAAGCAATGGCAACTGCAGACAACTTTACAGACAACTCTGGTGCTCGGAATTTTCGGTCCCGGAGTCTTTGGTTCCAGATATCACTATATAGGAATTCTCGGTCCCCATAATTTTTGGTCTCGGAGTTTTCGGTTCCGGAGCTTTGGTCCCCTATTTAAAATTTAAACGTAAACTTCAGTTTATTTATACAGCATCTTTTCCGTGACGTTCAACAGCGCTCATTCACCGCATCCTATATTCGAAGTACATGATAAGCTTTGGAATGTGGCATAGCATGCATTCAAACCCGGAGTCTACGCTCGTAACCACTACACCACACCCGCAGCTCAAGGATTTTCAGGTGTTAATACTAGTTCAAGATATCCTTGCATTTAGTTAAAAAATTATGAAGTTAAAGTAAACAATTACACAATTGTTTGTGTAATTGTTTACTAATGTTTGTCAAGAAATCTTATTTTCGTTTGCTAGGTCATTAACTAACAACTTATTTTAATCTTTTGTTTGTCACATTGCCTAAAATAATATTTATATGTTTAAATTCAATTTTTATTTAGATTTTAACTTTTTCAATACAGTTATGTAATTTATAATTTAAAAAATCCTCAAATTAAACAAAAATAATTTTTACAAAATACTTATGCGTTTGTCTACTGAATCGATTTTAATTATTTTATTTTCGATTTATTCATCTTCAATTTAAAAAGTGGTATTGGAAGACAAGACAACGATAATATTTCTATCAAATTTTATTAAAATTTTTTTAAAAACACTTTGTACTAAAAACATTGGGTACCGAAAATTCCGGGACCAAAAATTCCTATGTAGTGAAATAATCTGGTACCAAAAATTCCGGGACCGAAAATTCCACAGCACTGAAATCTGGGACCGAAAATTCATGAGTACAACACTCCCAAGCCGATGTAGTTCAATCTTCAAAAAAAAATTGTTTAAGAGACACAACATCAGGTTGAAATATTCATTTTTGCAGAATTTAAAAATTGTATAAATGGTTTTCTAAATGTTGTTTTTAGAGTGCAGAAACTTCTTAAAAGGCAGTATTTATAAGAAAATTAAATTGTTTGAATTTGTATATGGCGTATGTTTGTATCTTGGCATGCATACTTTTGGTTGTATAGGCATGTGTGCGAGCCTTTAGATAAAAATAACACCCTTAAAACTGTAGGATGTGTGTTCTGTATATGCAGGCATGCATGAGTATTTGGAAAATGTAGATATATATATATGCATCTTTCGAATGTAGGTATGTATGCGTTGTATGAAAGTCTTCATAAAGTTATGTGTATTCAATTTGTACACGTGTACGTACCTGGAACTACTAATACATATATACGTGTACATGTATAGAAATCCTTGGCTTTATGTAGATTTGCATAAATGTGTGTGTATGTGTGTCTGAATGTATATTATTATCAGGCAAATTTATAAAGCACGAATTTCAATAGAAATATTCTCAAAAGCGCCCTAAATTTTAAATAACAAAATGATAAACAAAACTATAATATCTGTATCAATTTTAGTTCAATTAAAATAAATAAGTTCTAAGGTTTTTTTAATAACTGTTAAGATCCTGGCCCGGTTTTCTTAAGAACTAAGGCTGACTGTTCCAGCTACTGCGATATCTCGCATTCCAAATTTAAGTTTTCTTGACGGAACAGCCAGTAAATTTTGTTTGTTTGATCTCAAACAAGCACCTGGTGACGTTGTTTTTTTTATTGAATTTACATGCTAGATATTCAGGCGTCAATCCATTTAACGACTTGAAAATAATTAGACAAATTTTAAAGACTATCTTTTTTGATCCGTAACCAGTGAAAGTATTTCAAAATCGGCGTAACATGATCAAACTTTAATTTACCAGCTATTAACTTAGCAGCCCGATTCTGCCCGTGAAGCCTGACGATTGATTTGTTGGGTAAATTGTAGAACAGACTGTTTCATTAGGCTAGATGAGAACCAATAAATGCATAAACCAACATCTCTATTGTTTTACGATCAATTGCACGTCGATTCTGATATAACCTTCGAAATTGTATTATGATTGAGGTTTGCCAGGTTTTGTCGGTCGTAGAAATATGCGTAATTGTTGTAATAAAGTAAACAAAAACTTTGGTTTTGGTTTTGATCTAAAAAACTTGAAATGATTTAAGATCAACCGTTAGAAAAATTGAAAAGTTAAATTGTTAACTAATGCCGAACATGCTGGGATTTTTATCTACAATTGCATTTCTGACAGTCTTTGTTCAATATATATATATATATATATATATATATATATATATATATATATTATTACGGAAATTTATATACAGCGCTTTTTTATTGTTGAATCTCAAAAGCGCTACTAAATCATAGACAAATAAGACGGACATTCATTGTGCAAATAAATAAGTTTTAAGTTGACTTCGAAATTGTAAATATGATAGGTTAGGGTCACGTAAAAAAGGAGGTAAACCATTCCAAAAAACCGGGCCAAGAACTGCAAAGTTGCGGGAACCAACTTTGTGGTCGGGATAAAAAATAAATTGCGCTCGGTTGATCGGAAGGAATATTTTGATTCCAATCTATCGATGAGATAGGGAGGTGCTGTATTATTGACACATTAAAACATCAAAACTGCCAACTTGAAGGAAACACGTTTTTCAACCCTCAACCAGTGCAACCTATTCAAAATAGGCGTAACATGATCAAACCACGAACCACCAAAAATCAGCTTGGCCGCACGATTCTCTATTGACTGAAGCTTTGAAAAAGACTTTTTGGTGACACCATAAAAAAGGCCATTGCAGTAGTCCAGTCTGGAAAAGATAAAAGAGGAAACCAAACTTTGAAGAACAGACGTGTTTAGTGATTTTTTGACATTGCGTAACAAACGGAGTTGGTTGGAGCAGACCCTCACTAAATTATTAATATGTAAATCTATCTTTAGGTTTGAGTCAATAATAACTCCAAGACTACGGACAGATGTGGAAAATTCAATGATGTCATTGCCGACACTGATCGATGAAATTTTGACCTTTGACAGCTGCTGCCAAGAACCAACCGTAATATTTGTGTTTTAGATTGATTTAACTTTAACTGATTCATACTCATCCAAGATCCAATTTCTATAAGGCAATCAGTCAGTTCATTCAGAGAAGCATCAATCGAATCAACAGGACAAGAAACCAATAACTGAATGTCATCAGCAAAGGCGTGGTAGCTGAACTCGAATTTTTGAATGATATCAAAAACATCAGCAGTGTACATAAGAAACAACAGAGCTCCCAACACAGATCCCTTGGGGCCACCAAACGATAGTTTGTTTATGTCAGAGAGGGTGTTGTTGTAAGAAACCTGCTGGGTGCGGCCTAAAAGTTAGGAAGCAGACCACGATAAGACTGAATCAGAGAGAAAAAATTTGTGGAGAGTTTATACATGAGACGAGTATGATCGACTCATATCAAGTAATGCCAAGATAGCAACGCATTGACTGTCAACTGAAGAAAATAACTGGGAGAAAATATCAATGAGTGCAGTTTCTGTGGAAAAATATTGACGATAGCCGGATTGATTCTTCGGCAACAAATTGTTTTTGTTTAAATGCTGTAAAAATTGTTTGATAACAACTTGTTCAATGACTTTAGAAATGAATTGAAGATTAGAGAGAGGACGGTAATTTGATAAAACGTTGTCGTCCAAATTTGATTTTTTTAGAAGTGGGGTTACAATAGCATGTTTCAAAGGGAAAACTGCTAGTTGATAAACATTGGTTGACAAAAAATGTCAAAAATTGCAAAAAAAGATCTATAAATTTTTTAAATATGTATTTTGGAATCAGATCAAGAGAACAAGAACTGCCAGAGGAGTCGCAAACTATTTTACGCAATTCATCTGGCGTGCACATTTGAAAATTGGAAAGATTAACAATTGTTTCAGGTAAAACAACCCTAGAGACATATTCAAACTGAATTGGTTTGTTAGTATTTTCTATAGTCGTGCTACGAATATTATTGATTTTATTGATAAAAAATGTCATAAAATTATTGGGGGAGAAATCATTTGATTGGTTATTATTGTGATTTTTAGATAAAATTTTGTCGAGGATATTCCACAATTTTTTTGGTTGTTTTTTAAACGCATCAAACTTGATTTGACCAAAATTTGTTTCTTTTTTGGGAAAATTTTTGTATTTTTTCTTTTAACGCTAAGCGCCATGCATTTCGATTAATATCATTTTTCATATTCCTATACAATCGCTCCAGTTTTTGACAATTGCGTTTTAATGAATGACATTCAGAGTCAAACCAAGGGGGCAGATGGTACATGAGTAGATTTGACATAACGACAAGGAGCAACGATATCCACAATCCTCACGATTTCAGAATTAAACAAATCTAACAGGGTATCAGCGGAAGATGAATTGAACGGCCCTGAAATATGTGAATCGAGAACTAGTGAAGAAAATTGATTTTGTCAATTTGATTCCATGAACGAGTAAGTTTCCATTTTTTCTGAGGTGTGGGAACAGAAATAGAGAAACAAATTTTAATTAAACTGTGGTCTGAATACACATTTGGTGGCTCAACGGAAAAAAATTGTGAGGGAAGGTCAGAACTAGAGGCAATTAAATCTAATGTTCCACCATGAACGTGGGTTGGTTCATTTATTCTATTTATCAATTAATATAAATCAAAAATTTCAAACAATTTCAATGCATTAGGGTCGTTCAAAAGTTCAACATGGATATTCACATCTCCAATAAAAATAACATAATTTGCTAAAAACACTATTTGATCAAAAACAGATAACTCATCAAAAAACAATGGTGATGGAATAGAAGACCCAGGACGATAAATTGCAAAAACGACAATAATTACTTTGTTGAAATAAAATTTTACAACTATAGCCTCAAACGTCTTAAATAAAGGCAGTGGAATTCTATAAAATTTAAAATAATTTTTTAAAAATACAATTATTCCACTATGGTTAGGGTCGGCCGGCCTCAGAAAAATCTATGAACACAAAATCAGGTGACAGAGTGAGTCTGAGTGATAAATTATCGGACGATCCATGCCAAGATTCCGTAACAACAAAAATATCAAAATTATTAGAAAATAAATCGCGAACAGTTTTGATCTTATTCATAATTGACCTAATGTTCAACAAACCTAATTGCAGTTTTAGTTCTGTGTCTTTTTTGGTAACTTCACGATCGTTACTACCACCTTTATCGTTACCATTACAACCATCACCACCATCGCAAATACCACCATCATTACCACTGCCGCTATCGTTACCTCCACAACCATCTCCACCACTGCAAATACCACAACCACAACTATCATAATCACCACAACTGAACAAACTTCCACCACTAGCATCATCAGCAATACCTTCACCAGAAATCACTTCACCGGATGCTCTCTGAGTTTGACAATCCGCCACCTTCCCCTCATCTTGAATAAAAAACCTGGGCACGAGATTTTTCTTGATTTGGCTTCATCAATTAGTTTTTTAACTCGACACGCTGATCAACTGTTAAATCCTTGACTTCACTGGATAACTTTTTAAAAATTCCTTTGATTCTATCTTTATCATCATCAGTTTCTTGCAAATTGAACATCATTGTTATTCTCTTTCTTTCATGTCATTTACATTGGTTAAAGTTTTTTGAACACTTTTTACCTCATCATTAACTTGTTCAATATTTTTCTTCACTTCGCATCGGACAGCATCAGCAAAACATTTGCTCAAATCGTTTTTTAGGTTACACAGCTCGGTACTCAAAATTGTGCCATCGAATCTTTCCGCTCCATCAACATTTCTCTGAATTAAACTTTTGATAGCTTCAAGTTCGCTCTTCAACATATTGTTCGATTCATCAATTTTGTCAATTTTAGTGTTGAGCGCATCATTGCTATTACGCACAGCTTTATTTAATGACTTTACGTCAGGAAGTAGTTTCATGCATTCATCACAATACCACTTAATATTAGGCACGGAACTGATAACCTTGAAAGCTGATTTACTTATTCCGACACAGTCCTGGTGAAAAGCAAGTTGACATTGAAAGCACTGAATTGCTTCTTTATCTTCTACATTTCTAGCACATTGACATCCTTTGATCGACATTATTATTTCAAAAAGAATGTTTGCAAGTCAACTTATAAAATTGTATTTCAAATGTCTTTAGAAAGTTAGCAGTCCGCAAGAATAAACACACACACACAAAAAAAACAGCAAAACACTTCAACTTTCAAAACTTCTATAAACTATCCTTTATTGTTTACAAGTTTAACTTTATTACCGCGAATTCAAAATTTAAACCAAGAAATAGTGAAAAATAAAACAAAATTAAATTGCAAACAACCAACTGAACAAAATTTATATCCTCTTATTCTTCTAAATTTATACTATAAAACGAAATCAAAATTAAATCGAACACTCTATAATATCCTATGAAACTTTAGAAAAATACGGAAAAAATCGAAAACACTGTTGCTGAGTCAAAAGCTAAAATCGAAAATGTATGTATATATATATATATATATATATATATAAAATTATTTATAAAGATCACTGCGTTTAAGTTTTCTCTTAATAATATATATATATATATATATATATATATATATATATATATATATATATATATATATATATATTATTCTATTAATTTGGAAAATAATAATTCAATATCATGTTGTTTTGGTAAAATATAAAAGGTCCGTAAAAGTCTAATTATGCACTAACGTTCGTGCAAAATGCGCAAATGCTTCGACTACCACAAAACTCAACGGATTACAACATGGATAGCACACTAGCATCGCCAGAAGAATTAACTTCAACTCCAAACCACGACCCATCTTCGTCATCGTCGTCAGCGCAATCGATTGTAGCAACGGAATCAGCTATCCCAGGCGTCAAATTACCGAGAACGCCAGCCCAATGGTTCGACCCAACGCCTTCTTCTTCCAGCCACAACGCAGACTTCTACCAAGTCTCAAAAACATCGACGAATTCACAACCACATTTCAAAAAATGATATACGACTATTTGCTCAAAATTATGGCACCATAAAAACTCATACCGACCAGAATAACATCACAAACAAAAGCACCAAAGAGCTAAAAAATAAATTGAAACATCTAAAAGTACTTGGCAACAACAAACACTAATTTGACAATTAAATCACCAACACAAGTAAAGTCATTCGTTCAAAGTTGCAGTTGGTGAAGGTGTCTAAGCGTGCTGAAAAAAAATCAAACATTACAACTCAGCATAGACAGCGATTCTGTGGTCTTGCAAAAAAAATATTAGACACAACAAAAAATCTAAGACCACTATTCAACACCGACAATTGCTGTAAATACTTCACAAATATTTTAAACGACGATAATCATCACAAAAAGTATCATCTTCCTAAATGGATTCCAAAACTTCAATCGCCAGCTACACCCTTCAACACTAGTCCTCCTTCGTACCAAGAGATCTCCTCAATAGTCCGCAAATATAAAACAGAATTATCACCCAGCCCGCTTGACCAGATCTCAGTTATCTCTTTCAATAAATTTCCAATCTTAGGCACCATTCTACATCAACTACTAACGCAATGCTTGTTATCCTCCACAATCCCTTTGTGCTGGGAAAAAGGGTTTACAATACTAATTTATGAAAATAGAGATGTTCGTGACCCGGCCAACATCAGACCAATAACGCTACAACCAACACTATACAAATTATTTTTTTCATTCATCAACAGTAGACTATACAATTTTTTCGAATCAAACCACATGATTAACAAAAATATACAAAAAGGATTCTACCAAAAAGTAGATGGCCTGACTGAACACACCCAGCTCTTATCTCATATGATTAACGATGCAAAAAGGCACCAGAGAACAATGCTTGTCACACTCCTGGATTTGCGAAATGCCTTTGGTAAAGTCTAATCTCATCAATCATGCATTACCATCACATCCCACTTTAAATCATAAACTTAATTGAATTTGTATAGGCCAACTACACAATTACAGATTCCAGTTGCGATCAGTTGACTCCATCTATCCCGGTCAAACGAAGTGTGCTTCAAGGCGATCCCGTCTCTCCATTGTTCTTTAATCTATGCTTCAAACCCCTAATGAAAAAACTTGAAGAAACCGAATTTCAACAGTGTGGTTACATATGGGGCCCGACAGCTAGTCTTAGAACAAGAGCGTGGTTACAGTTTGCAGACGACACAGCAATCATCGCCAACAACACTGAAAGTGCACAGAAACTTATCGATGTAAACCGGACTTGATGCAATGCAACCGATATGAAACTAAAAATCGACAAATACTCAACTTTAGGCATGAGGAAAAAAAACGGTTCCTATGAGCAATTTTTTCCGGTGCTGGCCATCAATGAAAAACCAATTCTTCAGGTCGACATAGGTGGACACTTTGTTTATCTGGGCAGGATCTACGATTTTGAAGGCAACAACAGCAAGGCTAAAGAACAGTTGGTTTGAAAGCTGAAAAATTTGTTGTCAGTGATAAACAATCTCGACACTACGGCAAACTGGAAACTACAAATTCTACGTAGATATATATCGTCGCGATTGGCATTTAAGATGCGGACATACAACATTTCCTTGACTTGGATATATATATATATATATATATATATATATATATATATATATATATATATATGGTTGCGACCATCTGATATGATTTGAACTGAAATTCGCCGTACGGAAAATTTAAAAATTCAATCGCAAGTGCTGTGTATGTATGAATATATGTGTGCTAGCATGTATATGTGAAAAAATGAAATAAATAATAAAATTTAAGTGATCAAACTGCCTAAATTTAATTATTTTGTCAACAGAAATTTACAAAAAACCTACTAGTTTAATTTTAAAAGTTATTCTTCAATAGTATTCCAGTTATTATGCATTTTTACGTTATACAAGATTAACGTATTTTTACAGTATGTGTTAAAATGTAAATATCTAAAAACTAATCTAACAACTAAAGGTCGTAGCTAAAAAATGTTGATGATGACATTTGATGAGAATAAACAAATAAACAAAAATAATGAATCTACAATCATGTTTTTAAGATAAACCATATTCATTCTACAAACAAAAATGATCTGATTTAAATTTTTTTTCAATTTGTCAAGATTTCAACATTTAATAAAGCGTTATCCAATTGAGATAATACTTTACAAATACCATTTTCAGCCAAACGGAACAATTTAAAGGGTTTAGTTTAAAATTTTCAAATTATTATTATCAAACTAATAATAACTGTTTTTTACTAATTTACGTTTTCATAACAATAGTTACTGTTTTAATAATTCTATGCAATTTATTTAGAGGTTAATCAGACTTACCTAATCTCCATTAAATTATTTTTAGTATAAGATATTTTTGACAATTTAAATGTTTAATTTTTGTTTGATATAATTTGATTATTTTGACCATTACAAGCCTTTTGAACTTCTGCTCGCAGTTTGTTATACAAATAAATATATAAAAAAACCTATGCAATACAATGCACAAAGAAATAGGGGGAAAGTTTTTTTATTTTATTTATTTATTTTATTTATTTATGCATTTATACATTTTTATATTTATTTATGCCCAATGCACTTGCATGCATTCATGTGCATAGGGTTATGTGATGATCTTTGAGTGTATTTCTGTACGTTGTGTCTGTGCATTTTATATGTATGCATGTGTGAATTAGCAAAGATAGGGGTTTTTGAGTTTGCATTTATGAGTGTTTGTTTGTGTTTGTGTGCGTGTGTTTTTGTGTGTGTGTGATTTTGTGTGTGTGTGTGTGTGTGTGAGTGGGTGGGTGCGTGAGCGAGTGTGGGTGGGTGTTCCGTAACAACATTCATCGGGTGCGATTCATTTTTCACACATCAACAGTTCTCGAATAAAAGATGATGTTTTAGTTTAATTCGGAATTTTATTAACCAATGATTATAATAATAATAAAATTAAAATTAATAGTAATAATATTATTATTTATATTAATGACAAATTGTTAAACAGGAAATTTTGCATTTCAATAACAGGATAGTAAGCCTGTTACGCTCAAGCATTTAGAACTGAGGTAAGAACATTGAAGTAAATTTTCAAGCTTAAATAGGGCCTGAATATAATTAAGATAGTAACATAAATCAAGCGATACAATCGTCATTCTCGTTTCAAATTATTCTGCATATATATTAAGACAATATTTGACGCCCGTAAGGGCGGGGATTTCCAAAAAAATGGTTGATCGGGGGGTGAATTTTCAACAAAAACTTGGAGACCGGGGGTAACTTTCACAAATTTGTTTTGCGAATATTTCTGTGCTCACGGGAGGGCCAACATTTTGACAAATGGCCGACTTTTCTGCTGATGGGCTTATAATGTTAATTTTCTCTACAAAAACATCCTTTTTTCCGTTATAACAACGACTTTTATTAATTTCTAACACAAATAACGCTCACAACGGGGAAAAGTGCCCTAGGTTAGCAGCAAGTTATGCAAAAACATTTGATAGAGCCCAAGTCTGGGTCCTTCAAATTTACGGGTCCTAGACTATTTAACGGTACATCCGGCCCCGATTGTATTGCCGAGCCATCGTTAACATGCGCAGAGCTGTGGGCGGTGCAAACTGTTGATGTTCAGGGGATGATGATTTTGTTGAAGGTATTTATAAGGCAGGTGGGTTGGCATGGTAGGTGTTCTGTTCAGCATGTCAGCATCTACGTATTGAACAGTTGAAATGTTGGCTGGTTTTTCAGAACCTCTGATGTGATTGACCGTACTATAATGTGAATGTCGTTATTCAAAACATGTAACTAACTGAATAAAATTTGAAAACCAAAAATATTATTGGTTATGTGTTTTTTTTTATTAAACACATATAAAAAGATGTAGATTAATATTACGCAAGATTTTGAGTGATACCACGGTTATCACATTTTAGTAAAAATTAAAAATTGTTGTTGACACTCACAGCACGGCATAAATAAATAAGCGGGCGGTAATTAATTTAACCTGAAAACAATAGAAAGGCGCCAAGATGAAAGCAGCGAGCTCTCGAATTATGCATGCCATTCTAATTTAAGAAGATGCCGTTGGTTACTATGAAGAAATATTTTTAGTTGTAGTTGCCATTCCTTTTAAAAATAATTTTCACAAATGTTAGTTCTGAAATACGAAATTTAAAAAATTGATTATACAGCATTTCAAAAATGTAAATTATTAATATTTTAAAACTGCAAAAAATCGAAATAAAACTTTAACATAATTATTATTAAAATTTTCACATTTTTACTAATTTAATTCAAATAAATTTAAACAGAAAAATTTTTAAATATTTTAAAACTCATTGTACTATTTCTTTTATTTTATATTTCTTACATTTCATTTCAAAACTGCAATATTCGAGAAAATAACATTTTTTAGTTTTTTCAGTTCAGTGTTTGCAAAAAAATTTACGGAAATAATTTATACTAAAAAAATTCACATAAATTTCCTAAACAAGTGCACTTTAAAAGACGTTTAAATGCAACATATAGCAACAAGCAATGCATATCAATACATAACAACACATTGCGAAAACATACAGCACATAATCTGAAAAATCAGGTAAAAAAAAAATTAAGATTTTTTACAGAAGTTCGAGCCATACAATGCAGCTCAATGAATGAGTTCCCTGCTATGATATTAAACGCCGATATTCATATTGATCAATAGCTATTGGTCAAAACTGATCAATAGTTATGTGCAAGTGCCTTTTTTAACATTTAATCAATTTATGAAAAACGATTAATCTGTTACACGTCCTTAACGAACTACTTAAGCCCCTACTCTGTAATAAGTCGGCCGGAGTAGGAAGATTTCGAGGGAGTCGATAGGAGTCTGAAAATTTCGCCGGAATAAATCGGAATTCTTCAAAAGGCTGAAGATCAAAAAATTTGAGAGTCGGAAGTCGGAGTCTTTAGTCGGAAATTTTAACCTGAGTCATGCGAAGTCAGACACTCGATTTTGACACTTACGTAAAACTTTGTATAAACCATAGACTATAAACAAAGATTATTATTATTATATTATTTATTAATTTTATGAATTTTATTAACGCTACAATATTTTATTTTATTTATTTTTTCAAATCATTTGCTTTTAAAGTTTTAAGATCAATAAAAGTGTTTAATTATTATTATATGTATAGTTACAGTGCCAATTCAAATCCTCATGATCAATCAGGTCTTCAGAACAAGCATCATCAGCAGGGGGCGTAGGCAATGATGAAAGTATCAAAAAATTTTGAAAACCAACTTAGTCATACTTTTTTCAACGTACCAGCTCCGTTATTATTTTTGCTTTGGCTTTTTTCATAGACAATATGCGCCTTACCAGGGCATGATCCGAGAACTCTCCTGATGTACTCAAGTTGACATCAGTAACCCCATAACCAGATAAGGTGACGGCAACGTTCCGTTCCTTATGTGAGTTGCACCATGCACGAACCTGACTGCATCAAATGTTGTAAAAAAAAAAATCTTCAATCCTCATTGCATTTAAATAATCAATGTCTTTCAGATGAATGTTAAAATTGCCAGCCATCAACAGTGAAATGTTGCTTACATTCAGTCCCTCGATCACATTCGCCAGTTCATGAAAAACAGCCTGTCAGAAACTCTTGACGTTACCATAACGCAGAATTACTGAGTGGTCATTTGATGACCTGTACCATGTTTCCGTTAGCACCATTATATCCATTTTATTATGCAACTAAACACCATGGATTACCAACGATTTGTTCGACAGCGACCTACTTTCAGCAGACCAAGTTTTACCATGTCACCATTTTATAAACAATTCTTATTATGAAATATTTTCTTTTTTTGAAGATTTCGGTTTTAGCGAGACTAATTTTTTCAAAAAGGTTTCAAGCTATCATTAATAAGCAGCATCAATTGTTCAAAAACGTATTTAACTCATAAGTGTACATACTGTTCGATTTAATTTAAAGTCAGTTATTTTTCTGTTAAATCAAGTTTAAAACCAAAATAAACCATAAATAAGAAGGACTATTTTATTCTATTCAAAACTTTGAAGCCTGGCTTGCTCGTATAATTGCCATGACAACATAAAAACGTTTTCACATTAGAATTTAAATTTTTTAAAACTGTCCAAAACTCATAAAAAAAGTTCAAATTAAATTTCAAACCGAAAAACCACTAAAAACCAATTTTTAAAAACTTATTTTAACTTTTCGGAATATAAAACGACGTTAAGACACCAATATTCTGATGAAAAGCGCAACTCTCGTTTCACCAACTGTTAGGAAAACAAGCGCAGCGAACATATAACACATATAATTGTTTCGTTGTGTGTCACCGTTGAAGCTCACTGTCAGCAAGTTTTCATGAGTTACACTCAAAATCGCACCTCATATAGCCACATCATCACAAATGGACTTCAAGCATTTCACGCACTCAAAATACTTCGCCTACATGGTCTCAACGGTACCAAATTATTCGACATCACAGAATCGTTCATCATCTCAAACATCAAATATGCAGTTCCTTCCTGGTCTGGTTTCGCTACACAATAACAACACAACAACAACAATCTGTTATCAAAAACTGAATTCGTCTCAACCACCTACCTTCGTCACTCAGATATTCAACACACTCCATTCAAGATTTTTTAAGCAAGTAGAAGCTAACCACATCTCGTCATCCACCCTCTACTATCACCAATAAAACCACCACATACAACCTATACCAACTTAGACATAATTATCAAGTCACCACTCAATCAGCTTATCAGGGTAAAACCTTCATTACAAGACACCCAAAACATACTAATACTTAATAATTATTTGTCATTTGTTCTATTCTTTTATTATTTTTTTCTAAAAAACGCATTATAAATTATTTATTTAGTCATTAGTTAATTAATTCATTTATTTGTTTCTAAAATCATTATTTTATTTTCTATGCTTAAACCTTTTTACATTTTATAATATTGTCTTGCAAGACAGATTCTGATTTTTTCAAGAAACTGAAATTTCTTTGAATATTTAAAAACAAGTTGATAGACTGAATGTAACGCAGAGTGAGCATTCAACTGATGACGACCGGAATAATTTCATTCACTGAGAAGCCGCTCGACGAACGTGGGCGGCATGTCGCGAACCGTTGAAGATTGCAAGCATAAATAAAACATTGCTCGAGCAGACCTAGAGGCATCGTAACAACAACAATTCACAGAATTCTAAAATAAAAACCAGGGTTTTTATTCAAGGTTAATTTATCGTAATGAAAATGAACACAGTGCCAAAATAATTTTGTATAAATAAATATAAAAAATTGAAACAACATCAGAAATTTTATAATTTTGGTTTAAAAAATAATTTTGAAACAATTATATCAGTTTCCTCAGTGCGTCACTAAATTTTGAATATTTTATACACTCAGCATAAGCATTAGAAGAAAGCTGACTAGACTGGCATTAATTCTTGAAATGTAATCAGGGGTTTGGGTCTCATAAAATCACAAGCCAAAAAATTTATTCTTTTTCCAAAATGGCATGTCAATTGGTTCAATGGATGATCTATTTGTATGCATGGAGAGGATTGTAAACAATACAATTTAGAACTATAATAATTTTTCTATATTTATAACACCGACAGTTTTCAATAATGCAGTAGATCGCATTTGATGTAGGGTATTCTATTCGTTGATTGATTGTCTTAAAAGTTATGTAATTTTTTAAATGACTGAATGGAAAAAGTAATAAAAATTAATTTCACAATAATCTGTTGGCTTCGCTTTGCACAAGTCATTTATTTAAAGATATATTTAATATAGATAACATATCAACATAAATTAGCATATATATTCAAAATAGATACACAATTTAACATAGGTCGAAATAGATAATTTATTAACACAAATTAACATACGCACACGTCGCATATTATAAAATTGGACACAAATATCTTTAACTAATGATTAAAAACTAATATGTTTTTATATGAAATTGTATTTCAGAATCGTCAGTTATATTAACGAAACGAAAAACTAAGAGAACGAAAATTTTTTTGAAAGATTATCTGGCCGAAACAGCCAAGTCAACCATCATAATATTAAATAACATTTTTTTATCACCTTTTTATTTGAACCAAAAAAAAATTGGACAAATGAATATGGGTTTGTCATACAAGTAATGTACAGTGCATTGCATAGTGTGAACGCTGCATTAAGCTTTAAAAAAGAAAGAAGAAACGAATGTGCTTGACATTAATACATTCCGTTATTTATATTAGGCTTGCGTAGAAGCCAAACACTCCATATCTGACTGACTGACATTTAATGTAGGATGTATGTATGCGTAACACGGCCAACGGAGCATTCGAGGTTGAGCGTACAACCAAGCGGCAAGATACGACGAAAGAATTGTGCATATATTGAATGTTTGGACGAAAATAGCACAGCTAAAAATAGATCGATGAACAGAATATTCTCAGCTTGTATTTATTTGTCTGTTTTTACTGACAACTCATTTCTGAAGTTCTGATGGTAGCTATGTAAGTGTATCATGATCATAATCAATTGTTGTCGCAATTATCATTACAATAAATTAATTAACCACATAGAAAGAACGCTATGCAGGTGGTTCATATCTTTTCCTGCTTCCATTTTTTTTTTGTCAAATAAAATTTTAAATTCGCCTTAAAAAAGTTAATTTGAATAAAAATGTGAGAAAATTAAAGATGAAAGCGTTTCAAATTTTCTGCTCAGAAAAACAAAAATGCCGTAATAACACGCTTTAATAATGATCGTGATGATGACGATAATAAAAACAATAAAAATAACAATAATAATAATAACAATAATAATAATAATAACAATAATAAAACAATGATAATAAAAATTCTTCGTTATAAAAATTTTGAGTATGATAATGGAAAAAGTTTAGTAAGTTTGATTATGGTTAGGGAGGATGTTTTAGTATGATAAAGGAAGATGGTTTTGTATGTGAAAGAAGAGAGTCTAGTATGATGAAAACAGACGGTTTAGTATGGAGAAGGAAAATGGTTTAGTATGATGAAAAAAGAAGGTTTAGTATGATATTGAAAAGTTTTTAGTACAAATGCATTTATTTTTTATTTGTTTGAATTGTTGTTCTAGCTAAGGATTGGCTTCTGTCGATCAACACTAACAAATAATGTACGGAAATTTAAATTTTGTAGCTACTGTGTTGTGTTTTTAAAAAAAAACTAAAGTGTTTCAAAAATTTTTTATTAGACTTTTAGCATTTATTTGAGAGAATTTTTTTAGTTAAAAAGAATACAGTGTTTGAAAATTGATAAATTTGAGCAGAAAACCCAAAAATCAAAACATGGGCCAAAACATGAGCCACAACTGACTTTGTTTTAAATAAATTTCAGCGATGAAACTTGGATGAATCTTGCAACCAAACACATTCAAGCTGAAAATCGGTCAGCTCTTAAGCGCACGAGATGTCGATTGTACATATCAATAGTTTTTGAAAAAAATGATGAAAATTAGTTGGACTTCTCAGACTTCGAATGAGGATGAATTAAAACAGTCCGGTTATGAAAAGAAGAAATTACTACAGATAATCTGACAGAGACTGTTAAAGTATTCTGGTCACATCATGCGGAAGGAAAGAATGGAATCCAACTACTGGAAAGATTGCAAGGAAAAGAGATGGCGGTCAACAACGAATCACATTCGTGAAGTCTTTGTGTCACTTGTTGAATATCACCACATTTCAACTACTACACAGTGTTAAAGATCGGTTTATGTGGAGGTCGTAATCGGCAATGTCCTGAAAGGATAAGGCATGAGAAAGAAATAAAATGCTATTTCAGCCGTTCTCAAAGTGACGGAGTTGGAATTTTTGAGTGGCCAAAGTTAGAGTCGGTTGTTTTTCATCCAAAAAAAAATGTGAATTTGAAAACTTTTAATTTTTTGTCCAGAAAATATTTTTTAACATTGTGTTTTTAAAATGATGAATATGTGTACCTTTAATACTGAATATAAATAATTATGATGTGAATAAAATCACAAAATGTTTTTCAACGTGTTTTAAAACATAAATTTATAACAATTTACAAAGGAAAGCATTCACACCAATTGATTTTAAGAGTTTTTTTTAAGTATTTTTCATTAAGCAGTGATATTTATGTGAAATTATGATGCAAAAAGTTGGAAAATTTTTCGGAAATTTTTATCCAGAATTGGAATTTTTTGAAGTTCCGGAGTCAGATATTCGTTATCCGACTTTGACAAACTGGTTGTTCTAGCGTTCATTGCAATTGTACAACTTTATTGCCGAATGTCCATTTAAGTTTTTTGTTTTCTCATACATTGTAATACATCGGGAAAGTATTTGAAGTTTGAATGAGACATCTCTAAGTTCCACTTTGTTGAAAGTGAAAATTTGAATGATTAAATAAGAGCATTACTGGACTGCGAGGACGTGTCAAAAATGTTTGTAGTAATTATTTAGCTGGTGCGCAGTGGACTGATTTGAGCGTTTAAAAAGACAAGCAGTCTAACGCGGATTTTTCAGATGGATTGCGTGGTTGGGCTGATGACAACCGTAACGTTTTAAAAGTTACTTTCAAGTACGTCAAACGTTGGATGTGTGTACTTGATGCCTGGGCGTACATTAAGCTTATATGTTGCGTACACCCTGCGAAGTGGGATAAGAAGGAGCAGTTGTAGAGAGCGATTGCTCCTGTGTGATATGATGACGCTGTACGTCGGTAAGATCAGTGCTGATGACGTTACGTTCTGCAGAAGATGTCGTGAATGTGGCCAGCGCTCTGCTGCAGCACCGCCAATGCTGACGGTGGCTCCAACACCAACAGTAACAATTTTTTGAATTATAAAATATAAAAATGGTAAGAATGGTATTGATGACGAGTTGAAAATATTTACAACATCATTATCGGATTTTGATTACTATTATTTGCATTTCCACAATTAACACAGGTATGTAATTTAAGATAAAAATATTAGTAATGAATGAACGAACGAACGAACGAACGAATGAACGAACAAATGAATGAATAAATGAATGAATAAATGAATGAATTAATTAATTAATTAATCAAATAATCAAATCTTATTTGGCTATTTTTATTTAGTTCTCTTAATCAGACCAAGAAGTCGCTTTATTGGAACACAATCCTGACGGTCACGAAAAATTCACTTGTTTTGTTAGTAAGAAGATTCAAGTATTTTTTCTCTAGTCTGACTTAATTTCATTGAATACATCACATCCCATCTTTTTATGAATTGCAAGATTTTGTTATGTCCGGTGTATATTGTCATAGTGTGAGTGAAATGTTTAAATTCTTTCGAAAAATGATCTTATTGGAAAGAAAAAAATTATGAAATTGATTTAAATCTATATTCATTTAAAAAACAGTTAAAAATATAAATTTTTTACTAATTTATTCATATACTTTACCGTGAATATTCTGTAACAATAATTCAAGGTAAAAAAAACTTTTTTAATAAATAAAATATATTAAAATATTATGAAATGTTAATTTAATCTTAAATTGTCTTCTGAGCAATAAAACGTATAATGAACTGAATTTCTGCTTCAAAACGACAACCTTTAACAAATCAACTTCAGATTGTGTTGAAAATTTTGTCAAAATCCAGGCGTCATGTATTACTATGAATAGCAAATAATTAATTTTTATTTAGTGATTTGTTATTTATAAAATTAATTAAATTTTACTTTTATATGTTTCTCTCCAAATATTCATTATAGCACGAAGCCAAATATAATCGTATATTATGACACTGAAGACATTTGTATAGAAAAATTATTCAAACGTGTTTGTGAAAATATTTTCAATTTTTATAATTTTCGCAAAAAGTTTCAATTGCCAAAAAATCTACTTCTACTCATTCGGATCTGTAAATGTGAACTATTTATATTCCTAATGTTATCAGTGTAGCCAATTAATATAGTTTTTTTCAATTCTAACAATATAGTTTAAACAAAAATCAGGAATTGGGTTTGAGTCGTTGAAACAAAAGTGCTTTTTAAAATAAATACAAACGAACGGTAAAAATCGTAGGTATCTAATGAACGAATGTTGAATAATCTGAGCATGAAGCATTTGTGTTTCAATGAATGGCCTACTCATTAATCATGCCTATTACTTATGGTATCCATTGTTTAATATATTGCTCAGGCAAACTGCAGCCTTCCATTTTTAACGCGAAAAAGTTATTTTATTTTAATTCGCTACTATGTAATGCCACACACGAAGCAAATTTCACGGGATATGTAACGTGCACTCATATTTTCAAATTTGAAAGAAATACAAAAATATGAAATATTTCCGTTGAATACTATAATAAAATATTTGCACTGGACAGCAGTTTTTTTTCAAAATTGCTTCTCATAACAAATGTTTGTGATTCTTTCACTTTGATATTAAGAGTTTAAAAATATATCCGTGCCAAAATATATTGCAACACAAAGTCGATATCCATGCCAAAATATATTCATTGTAACTAAAAGTCGAAAAATATAAATATGAATTAATTAAAAAAAGGGTTAACTAATTAATATTTAGTGAACCTTGGTCGTCGTCGTCGTAAGCGGCGTCGCAGTGGTCACCAGCCCATCCTTCTGTACAACTGTTCATCAAATTATTTATCATATCGTCTGACTAATCAAATCAAAATAATATTTCGAAGGATCAGCAAATAATGTTAAAACTTCATATCCGTTAAATGTAGAATCCTTTCACACTAAAAAAAATACAGTTGAATCAAATGTTTTTTGTGGCCCTGTTAGCAAGTTAAAAAAGTTTTTGCGCGTTTGTCAAGATAGTTTTTTGGTATCTAAATAAAAAAAATATTTATAAAACATTGAGCTGTAAAACTTAAAATAAAATGAAATGAAATGAAAAAATTTCCATTTATTTGTTATTCGTTTTTTCATCAGAGCAGTTTTTGCAATATTTGCATAGCATCATGATATGTTAAGATGAGATTATATAAAAAATTAACTTTTCTTAAATTCATAAATAATAATAATCTCAAAAAAACTATTAAAGACAAAATAACATCCTAGAAGTTCTTGCTATCCATCAGAATTGAAAACGTTTTTCAGATGGTAATATTAATAGTTATGGTTAATTTATTACATTCTCCATAGCTGGAAATTCCACGCAAGACATTTTCAATTGTCCAGTTAATTCTCAACGATCATCTTATTTGTTGATTTCTTTTACAACATTTTTTTTAAAACTTGTATGCAATTGTTCTTATCGGCTAGTGCGGTTCATTGGCGCAGAGCATCTTCTGTAACCACAAGCCAAGTAGAGTCTTTGCCTCTTTATAACTAGAGCAAACAACAACACATCAATGTTTTGTGTAGCTCGGGTAGCTGTACTCAATACGATTCATATCCACATCATGCCGCACTAGCAAGCATGCATACCAAATTTTAGTCAGTAACTAATAGGATTACAGCTCGCTCGCTGTCTGACTGCAGTTCCATTTAAATATTCCACATCTGCATATTTTATTATTTTGATATTTTATTTTATTTTGATATTTGTTTCCATTTTTAGTTATTGTCCTTTAAAAGGTTTGCATTTTTGCTTTTTTCCTTTTGAATGGCGTTTTTGTTTCATGCAATTCGATAACTTTTTGTTGTTTTTTAGTACATTAGTATTAAATTTTTTGAAAACAATTTCAATCCTTCAACAATCAATACTTATTTTGATAGGCAAGCAAAGGACTTGAAGCTAATGTTCAATGACTAACAACAGCAGCCAAATAGATAGATTTTTTAAATGTGCTCATATTCTTTTGCCTTTATATATCTCTACTTTTCCTCATAATACTTTAGTTTGAAAAGAATTCTAACACTTCTCCACAACCACAATCTGCCACTCTGGCAGCGGAGAAACGATTACATGAGAAGAAACTTAGTGTTAGAACGAAAAATATTGGTAAGCAATACAAAGAGCATTATTCGAAAAATCAACAAAAAATAGCAAACGGCAAAACGATTTTTAACAAATGAAATTTTTATTCATTATATTAAAAACAATGCTGAATTATTTTTTTGCGGTCGAAAATGCAGCTCAGACATTTGGTCGTTTGAGAGTAATTAATTGTCCATCATGCTAAAATGCTTAACAAAAAAAGATGCTACTCACTTGCAAACCAGTTGGGTGAGATTGTCATGGAGCACGTATGCATAGCACGTGGAATCGTGATAGCACGGAAATTCATAATCTTCCTCGTCTGTGCACTCTCTAAACAAAAAGTTCAGCAGAGCTTTGATTTGATCGGCCGTATAATCTTCCCAAAACTTGAGGTTGGCTTTGACGTGGTGAGCCACGCCAGCAGGGGGGAGGTCAAGATCGTCGTTGCTTCCATCATCGCTGACTGCCTGCTCTTCCTTCTTCAGACAGTTCGCAGTGTTGCAACTCGGTTGGTTGCATTCTGTTTGGTCTTGCAAAATATTATTAATCATATTTTGTTATTGTATAGGTACAATTTTGCCCAGAAATCCCAAAAAAAAATTTATTCAAGTTATCTATTTAGAAAAAATATTTAAAGACATTTGCAGCAAAATATAATAAAAAAATGTTTACAAAAGTTCTAAACGAAATAATGAGGCAAAAATTAAAAAATAAAATGCATTGCATTCCATGAAATGTTATTAAAAATTAAAAATATCTCGTTAACATTCACGCAGTTCTACTCTGCAATTTGTTTTTATTACTTTAAATAAAAGGTCTTTAGATACAGTAACAGTAATAAAACACGCATAAAATCATAAACAGAATGGAAATTAATAGCCAGCCAAACACATACACCAAAACACACACGCACACACAAACACACACGCACACACAAACAAACGCACACACACACACTTGTGTATACTGTATAGTGGTCGCTTCTTTTTCATTAGCAATATAGAAGCGTGGGCTTTTGATGTTTGTGATAAATTGCAACTGTATTGGACTAGAATTAATGCAAAATAATGAAGGAGATATATATAACTATTGGAAAACAAAGGATGCATTTGTTCATTATTGGATACTTTGAATATTATAAATTTTCGTTCATTTCACCGGACACGTTCGTGATCATGTTGAAAATATGTGTAAAAAAATGTATGGACCGCAAAAATATGAAAAATTACTAGAACTACACCAAAAATTTTAACAAAGAGCCAGTGAATGGAGCGTGGTTATGCACAGTTAAACGTTTGAATACCTTTTAATTTTTAAAAATTAATCTAAAAAACTGTTGTCTTTAATGGAATTACTTTTGGAAAAATGCTACATGAATAAATGACTGATGTGTAGGGCATGTTGGAATGTACCCAGCAGATAGTCGAATGCTGGATGTTACTCACATGTAGGACAATAACGACTATCGTAATTTTGTTAGAGACAACCCACCAAATACCTTTTGCGTTTTATTTACAACCAGCAGAGCCAGATAGCTCTTTTATTATGGAGTCCGTTTTTAAGTAATGAAGCTTTCTTGATAATATTGGACTGAACAGGTAAGAATCTAAGAAACTTCATGAATAATGAATTTTGCCATAATTGAAACCATTAATATATAATTTCTAGACTTGTTTTGAATTTATATAAAACTAACTCAACTATTTTTTCAATAGGAAGGAAAATCACTGAGCATTTTATCAAACAACGTTTTACCCCTATTGAAAACTCTAAATTAAAAGCACATTATATACATTGAGTATATATACATGCACTCACGTTTATATTATTATTTTAATAAATTTATCAAAATTTTTACGGTTTTTTCATAAAAGTTTAAAACTGGTATTTTCCATTTGCAGATTTTACTGAAATCAACATAAAATGAAAATGCGTGAAGTTTGTACGTTGATTATAATTTGCCCATGGAGTCTATGAAACTTAAGAATGACGAATCAGTACCAAATAGAATATATTGATGGTTCAATATTTAATTTAAAGTTTAATTCTTATAACAAAATTTCATGGCTTAAGACATTTAACCAAATTCAGATATCAACGTTAAATGGAAACATGAAGTTAATGAAAAACTCACGAAAAACAAATTTAAACGGACAACACTTTACAATAGGTGAACAGACAGAGCAGAAATTATATGCACTAACTCAAACACAAGTATTTGTTGAAGTAGTTCATTATGATGCCGATGTACTTCTGAAAGAGAGATATGCCGCCCATCGCCTGCTCTCTCACAACTGTCTCCTTTTCTTTCGAATCCATGTTCAAGTGACTTACGTGCATCGTAAACTTTTTAATTATTTAATGAAGAAATATTTGCAATATATTGCAACAAGTTATTGTTACAGCCTTTTACAGTCTATAGAGAATATTTACGTCAAAAAATCAAATGGCAACTAAAAAATATTCAGTTTTTGTAATTTTGATTTGTATGACCTGAAAGTAGTTGGGAAAGTTGATAGGTTTGTCTTGTTTGTTAATCTGAAAATAAATATTAACTTAAATGTTAACAACGAAAAAATAAATGTAGTGTATATATATATATATATATATATATATATATATATATATATATACATATTGGATTAAGACTATTAGAATTGTGCGTTTAAGTTTATAGCTATTGAAAAAATGATATAGGTGAGGATAGTTGATCTGTCATCAAATTCATAAATTCGTCGGCCAGTACAAGTCCTGTTTAAATTTTGATTTCTCTAGTGGTTGATCGGAAATCATTCACACGTTTCTTGAGTTCGAAACAAAAATTTTTGTTTATTTTATACATGACAGAACGAAAAATTTAAAAAAATAACGTCCAAGCAACCAACGAAAGCGATAGTATTACACTACGAATATACTACTCCAACCAAAGAACGTAATTTTTTGTGATGAAAAACAACTACACTAGTAAACCAGAATCGATAATGGATCATAGCCATCTAATATATTTGTTCAAACGTAATATTGGTGAGTGTGGGCATTATAATTCTAAATATATTGGTATGACGACGACCAAGTTATCGAGAAGACTCACGATATACGTAAAAACTGGCACTATAAAGAATCACATGAAAGAGAAACACAAATCTAAAATTACTAGACAAATTTTGGACCCCAATGTTGAAATCTTACATTACAATGACAATCATTATAATTTACGACAAGCTGAATCAATATTCATAGAACAAAGACATCCAATAACAAATATTAAAAGGAGCAATTGGAATTCTTCCTACTAATAAATTTAAAAACAGAGGAATTATCGACAATGAAAACACGTAAATGTGTTATATTTAACAAAGTCAAAAAGTGTAAAACTATATCAATTATAAACTACTATATAGTATATTCGTAGTTTATATATATATATTTTTTTACAATATTCTATAAATTCTACCGAATGTTTGGCGTTAATATGTCTGTAGTTCGTTTTACAAATCTAGAACTACCTTCCTTTTAACTTCTAATTCTCAAGAGAGATGGAGCTGTCGCAGCTCGCGATCTTGTTCGATTGTTAGATTGCGTCGGTTGGTCGCAGATCTTCGAGTAAATGTTGGTAATAGACCATAATTTATATATATATATATATATGTTGGTAATAGACCATAATTTTTACAATATTCTATAATTTATAGAATATTGTAAATATATATATATATATATATATATATATATATATATATATATATTTATATTGGAACGAGATTTTCTTTGATGCAAATATCGTTAAATATATATATATATATATTGTATATATATATATATGTATATATGCAAATTTCATTGAAATTGTTTGCCCATTTTGCATTAATTAACTTCTTTATAAGACATTCAACGAGGCGGTATTGTTGAGATCATATTATCAAAACGA